CTTTGGACTAATCTTTCCTTGTATCTTGTGTTCTTCATTTTCCCTTGCTCCCAAAGGGGTGAGACCAATGGAGTATCTTAGATGGCTGCTCACAGGCTTTTAAGACCCCAGATGCTGCTCACCAAGATAGAATGTAGAACATTGTCTTTATAAACTGTGTTACGCCAATTGAGCTAGATGTTCCCCGAGACCATGTGGGGACCCACAGCCCTCCACTAAGCAAATCGGTCCCTTAGGGAGTTTGGATGTGTCTTTTGAGCTTCCATTCATATTTTTCTTTGTTCTAATTTCCCTTGTGATTTCTTCTTGATCCATGGGTTATTTAGAAGTATGTTGTTTAATTTTCAAATATTTGGGGCATTTTCCAGATTATTTGTTGCTGATTTCTAATTTAATTAATTTAGCATGGTCAGAGAACCTACTTTATATGATTTCAGTCCTCTTAAATTTATTAAGACTTGTTTTAAACATTTATAAACGTATATGTTGTTGTTATCTGCCATAAAGTCAGTCCTCAATTCATGGTGACCCCATTCACAATGGAACGAAACGCTGCCCAGTCCTGCACCATCCCCATGATCAGTTGCAGATCAGACCATTGTGATCCATAGGGTTTTCATTGGCTTATTTTTGGAAGTAGGTCACCAGACTTTTCTTCCTAGTCTGACTTAGTTTAGATGCTCTGGTGAAATCTGTTCAGTACCTCATAGCAAAATGCATGCCACCACTGACAGATGGGTAATGTTTGCACATGAGGTGCGTTGGCTGGGAATCAAACCTGGGTCCCACACTGAAGGTGAAACTTTTACCACTGAACTACCAGTGCCTTTATACACTTGTATAGCAGTTTAATATTACTCCTACATCCAAGTGCATGATAATTTTTTCTTGGTCGTTCTCTTTATTGTATTTTATTAAAGTAATGGTCTTTGAGTTGGTTTTTTTTTTTTTAATTGTACTTCAGGTGAAGGTTTACAGAGCAAATAGTTTCTCATTAAACAGTAGTATACATATTGTTTTATGGCATTGGTTAACAACCCCACAACATGTCAACCCTCTCCCTTCTCGACCTT